CCCAGCTATGCTCTTAACTGCTGAGCCAATTTCTTTTTTTCTTTACTTTTAATTTGGATAATACCTGTTAAGTTTCTCCTGTACTAAAATGTGTACTGTGTTAGGGACAAGAATTGAATGTAATAGTAAAGCTGATCCAGATTTAATTCCCAAACTTTGTTCATGTACAATTTTACCTTGGAAAAAAGACTTAAATTTCATGATTCTGGTTTTCTTACTAGCATAATTGTAATACCAGATTGTTTTTAGGATTATACAAAATAAGAACACCCAGAACATTGTAGATGGCTATTGCTGCCAATTTTCTTTCTTCATTGTCTTTTTGAGACAAGGTCTCCCTGTAGCCCCAGCTGGCCTGGAACTCACAATGTAGACCAAGCTGGCCTCGAACTCATAAAGATCTGCCTGCCTCTGACTCCCAAGTGCTGGTATTAAAGGTGTGCGCCACCACGCCCTGTCCCCGACCGCTTTCCGTCTCGCCGGCAAGAACGACGCGGGAGGACAAGTCAGGATCCTTCTGCAGCAGTTTATTGTATGCGCATCTTACACTCTTAGAAGCTTAAAGACCGAAGATGCCGAGAAGCGGGAGAGCGGTTGCTTATATAGTCTAAAGGTCCCATCTATGACGTATAAGAAGCGGATTGGTTGCTGGAGATCACGCCACGGGAGGAGGCGAGGGAGAGCAGGCTCTTGTGCACGCCCCTTATGGGCGCAGCAGGATGTTTACTGTTAAGAAGGTCCGGATACCGGCGCCATCTTGTAATGGCGGCGGAGGCTGTGGCTCTCCACAGTGGGTCCTCAATAAATGTTAGTTCCTGTTCTCTGGAGGAAAGATTTGCTGTCAAGTGGGGAGGCAAGATGTGGGAAGAGAATTACAGACTCTCATAAGGGTGAGGCACAGGATTCTTTATGGTCCTTCCTTCTACTGGAGCAGACAATGCCTGACAGTGGTTTTGGTTACTTTTTCTTCTCCAAAAATTATCCGAATAAAGTTAACTTCCTTTTCCCCAAACCATGTAAATAAACAGATTCTAACCTGGTAAGAATCTGGAAATTAAGAATTAAAATGCCTCACTGTGCTTGTTTCAAACCACCAATCACTGTTCTTTTGTTCAAGGCAGATATTGAGCATCTTTGAGTTGATGGTGAATAAAATAACTTTGGTTTCATTTAGGAACTGACGAGAAAACCCTCATCAACATTTTGGCAGAGAGGTCAAATGCACAACGGCAGTTGATTGCGAAGGAATATCAAGCTTCATATGAACAGGTACAATTGATGATCACAATAGGCCGTGGAGAGATAATCACTGCCCTGCCACAGTTCTTCCTGAGTTATCATGCCATTTGGCTTCTAGCCAAGTGCGGCAGAAGATGCCCTGTGCATCCAGTCAAGAACCAGGACTCTTGGTCCTTTACCTCTCACTCCCTGAGAGGCTTTGAGGCTTCTGTCTCTTTACTGTGGGATAAAGAAGATTGCCTTAGAACCGTGGTTCCAAGCCAACAGTCAGTTTATTCCCCATAGGACACTTGGTATAGAGGGAGACTTGGTTTTTTGTTTTGTTTTATTTTGTTTTGTTGTTGGTTTTCTGAGACAGGTTCTCATGTAGCCCAGACTGGCCTTGAATTCGTAATGTAGCTGAAATCTTGAACTTCTGATCCTCCCGCCTCCAACTCCCAAGTGCTGGGATTATAGCAATGAGCCACTATGCCTAGGTTATGTAGTGCAGGGGATTGAATTCACGGTTTCACGTATACTAGGCAAGCACTGCCAACTGAGCCACATCCCCAGCCCGAATGAAGACATTTTGATGATCAGAAGTCAGATTAGGGTTGGGGAATGATTCTAGCCTTCAATAAAAGATGCAGCTAAACATCATGCAGTATGTTTAGCCCACACAAGGAAGAATTGTATTACCAATCGTCTGACAAAGGATGCTTTAGATAATCTTTAATTTTCTAATTTTAAAGCAGTTATGTAATTATAGGCCCAGTATATCCAGCATATGAAAACCTAATAAGCAGTAGAAAGCATGTACGTAAGAACAAGTAAGATTTGGTCATCACTACACAGTTTATTTGTTCATCACCTAATTTGTTAGGTAGTCTTCTCTGTCCGGGAACACTGGAGACATTGAGATTCACTGGTAGGAAAGGAAGCTCCTCCCTTATGCCTAGAGCTATCATCCTAATAGAATCATAATTAATAATTAAATAAGTCCAGTAATTGGTAAGTGTGATGAGAAATGAAAATGGGGTGACATGATGGAGGGTGACTGGCTCCTTTGGACAGGGTGGTGGAGCACTGTTAGCAAGGTGTTGAAGATAAAACTAACTTGTGCTGGCAGGTTCCACATTTCAGGCAAAGGGTGGAGCATACTCAAAGGTTCTGCACAGAAGTCAGCGGGAACGTGGGAGACAGAACTCCAATATAACAGGAAAGTGTAGCTGATGATGTAGAGGAGAAATTTGTCATCTGCAGAGCTTGGAGCTTTTATTTTCTTTTGAAACAGGTTTCACTCCTTCCTAGGCTAACTCAAATGACCTTCCCACCTCAGTCTCCAAGTAGCTAGCATCACCATATTAGCTTAGTTATCTATCTTTAAATGTCTAGCATAGACTAGGTGCCTATATTAGTTACTTTCTGCTGCTGTGATAGAACATTCTGACCAAAAACAGCCTAGGAAGGAAAGGGTTAATTTCATCTTACACTTCTAGGGCACAGTTCATTTTTGAGGGAAGTCAGGCAGGTATTCAAGGCAGGAACCTGGAGGTAGGAACTGAAGCAGAGACTGTGGAGGAGGGTTGCTTACTGGCTTCTGGCCTGTGCTCAACCCTCTTTCTTATACACAGGACCACAGTTCCCCAGGGTGCTCCACCCACAGTGGGCTGGGCCTTCCCACATCACTCAACAATCAAGAAAATGCCTCACAAACATGGACACCGGCCATTCCGATGTAGGAAGTTTCTTATTTGAGGTTCCCTCTTCCCAGATGACTCTAGTTTGTGTCAAGGTGACAAAAAATGGCCAACACAGTGTCCTTAAACATGTGCTGAGCTGAGTGAACTGCAAAGCATTTGGGGGGGAAAATACACTCAAATATAGGTTAAATTGATAGTCCATTGGCCTTTCAGAGCACTCCAAAATATGGAGAAGAATTGAGGTAAAGGGTAACAACCATTTCTCATTGTGAGATGGAGCAAGAGCATATGAAATAAGATTTCTTTGCAGTTGGGCTGAAGATAAATGGTATCAGAATTCAGTATTTTGATAAGAAAAATCCCTGTGGCAGATAAAACAGACCCGGTCATACTTGGCTCTATCCCATGACCCTGTTATATACCACTGTGTGGGGGTGTTGGTCTGTATCCTTATAGATGACTCAGAGGCTGCCAGCCCCTGTGTTGGGGATAAAAGTAAACTTCAGTATCAGTCCTTTGAATATTAGAAACAGAAATCGGGCTTCCTGCCTTAGGCAGGAGAGATGGGCTGTTCTTTTGTAATGTGTGATGACAGTGCTGAAGGACAGCATTAGGAAGAAACGCACGGCCATTCCCACACTTAGAGTTCCCCTCCCTCTTGTTACCAGAGTCCTGCTTCTGAGGCCCCGCCCCCAGATCTATGCTCTCATTGGAGGCCAGTGACCAGCCACTGTCCTCTCTTCACCTTTCTCTTGGAGCTCACTGAGGCCTCTGAGATACAAGGCATTCAGGAACAGAGCACCTTCCAGTGAAGCTCCTCCCTCACCCCAACCCAAGCACTGAGAGCACCAAAGACCTAGGAAATGCATTAATTCCATTTAGTATTTGTTAATTATTATTTCACTTGTGCATATTTGTGAGGTACAATGTGATGATTCAATGTACGTATACAGTGTATGATGACCAGGGTCATTAGAGGGGAGACATTTTACTCTAGAGTTCCTAACTTTGGTCCACTTCAAAAGCTTCCTCTAGGCTTTGAAAAAGGCTCTGTGAAGCAGTAACGCCTTAGAAGCCATTGTAAAGTGAAGGTGTGTGTCTCTAGAGAGGCTTTCAGCATTGCTGTGCATTACCTGTGGATGGGTATGCTGTTGTCTGATTTTGATAGTATGTTCAGCGTCCCCCTAGGTGGCTAGGTGGCTCTAGGAAAGGAAACATTTCGTAATTTCCTCCTTGGGCTTCTATTTTAGGAGCTGAAAGATGACTTGAAGGGTGATCTCTCTGGCCACTTTGAGCACGTCATGGTGGCTCTTGTGACTCCACCAGCTGTGTTTGATGCAAAGCAGCTGAAGAAATCCATGAAGGTACGAGCCCTACACAGGTGATTCTGCCCTGGTTTGATTGTGTCATCAAAATCAGGGAACCCTCGCAGCACTCCCTTGAGACTTACCTGATGGGCTCGGATGCCATTTTGCTTGTGTTCTTTACAGGGTGGGATGGCTCTGGACGATCTGTGGAGCCTGGAGCTGCCGCATCCTCATTTTCTTTGTTTTTTTTACTGAATTTCTCTCCCTTTCTCCCTCCCTCCCTCCCTCCCTCTAAATAATGTCATCATCCATCCCATTGCTTAAGCCCCAAACCTTGTGTTAATTTTGGCCCTTGCTTTCCCAGACTCTCACCAGTCCATTCGCTCTACTCTAAAATCCACTTGTGCACATGTGGGTCTCTTCAAATCCATGGCCATGGCCACCAGCATCTCTTGGTTGCAATGTATCGGTATCCTAGGTGGTCCCTTTGTCTCTATTTCTGCCCATTTCAAAACTGCTCTTCATGGCATGGCCAAAATTACTTTTATAAAGATATTTTATAGTGAGGTTATGTTATTTAACTCCCTAAATCTCCATCCAATTAGCACTTAAAATTCAGATTCTTCATGATTTCATCATCCAGCATAATCTGGCTCCCATCTGACTCTATGATTTTAAAAATTCTGTATCAGCTAGAATTCCTCAAAGAAACAGAACCAGTAGGCAGAACATATCTACCAGGAGATTTACCGTAAGGAACTGGGTACCTTGTGAGCCTGGGAGGACAAGTTCAGAATTTACAGGTCAGGTGGTCAGGAAAGGAAGACAAGAGGTCCCAGCAAGCTCAGAAGCTGTTGCTCACCAACACAGCCTCTCCATATATGCCATGACTCTGCTCTAAAAGCCTTTTAGTAGACTGTATCAGACCCAGCTTGAATGTGGAATATCTAATGTGTATCTTACTTAAAAATCAATTGATAATGGATTTAATTTCTATCCACAAAAATATCTTTGCAGCAATGCTCAGACTCGTGATTGACTGAATTACTGGGGACTGCATCCTGGCCAAGCTGACACATGAAACTGACCATCATACCTCCTCCCGTTTCTTGTTCAATGACATGTCTTCTCTGGCTGCTTCTCTGCTTCTCGAACATTATAAACTTCCGCCTTTGGAGTCCTTATTCACAACGTTCCATCCAGAGTCCTCCTCCTCAAGACATTTTGCATTAATTTACTCTGCTTTACTTTTGTTGTCTTTTTAAACTTTTACTTGCATTTACTTTTATGTTGATTTTATTTCTCTGCTATAACTTTCTGTTTTGGTTTCTTCTGGACTACCGACTTCTTCTGTTCAGCCTCCTCTTCTGGCTCAGGAAGAGTTGGTTCCTTTTCAGTGAGGCTCATCCTCAATGTGGGGTAGCACATGTATGAGTTAACCTGACCCCCTGAGCTGTGAGAGTACGGTGAATCTTGGGTGCTTTATTCACCTGAATATGGTCAATAGCCAAAGAATCTACACCTAAACCTTAAGCTCAGCTATGTGCTCTGCACTCGTGTAGAAAAATTCCGCTTTCCCCTTGGGCCACTGACCCCGCATCTCACCGCACTATTCCTACCTGAACATACCTACCTCAGTTGCACCACTGTAGCAATGACATGATACATATTACTTTTTAAAACATAGTCTCACTGTATAGCTCAGGTAGCCTTGAACCCATAATCTTCCTGCCTTATGCTTCCAAGCACTGAAATTAGAAGCAGTCACAGCTTGCCCACTACATGTTACTTCTATAAAGTGACATCTTTCAGATACTTGGTGGGTATATACACATCCTGATGGCCTAGGCAGTATCACAGGTAGTCTTTAAAGTGAGGGTTTGAGCCTCTTGATTTGCATTTTTGTGGGGTTTTCTGAAGCTAAAGAACAGTGAACCATTTTCACAAACTACCTCAGGGCCACTTACAGGCAGAACTGATTTTAAAAATTTGTCCGTTGCCACATGGGATTCTGTCATCTTGTTTGGGGGTAGGGGGGATACGTTTCTTTAACTTTTTTCATGTAACTAAAATGTGAATCTCCATCATGCTGGGGGAACTTAACAGTTGTAGTCTCTATTTTCTGATTCTAGATCAAAGTTCTGAAATGTAGTAGGTGCTTAACAGACTTATAGGTACGTAGGGAAAGAGAGATCCAGGTCTGAGCATGGGCCAGAGTCGGCCTTCCGGTCCAGGCAAGAGTTCTTTTCTTTCTTCTGGAAGGGTGTGGGCATCTGAGAAGCAGGTGGTGGGATGGAGGCAGATGCACAGGAGGTTTGTTGTGAGAAATGCTTGTAAAGGACAAAGAGGAAGACAGCAGGGAAGGTGTAGAAGCCTTCAGCCTGCACTGACAGTGTGACCCCGAGGAGGAGCCTCAGTGAACCGTGCAGTCCTGAGAAAGCATGGTGGGGAGTGATGGAGCCTGGAGCTGTTCTTCATTGGAGAAATGGTCCAGCTCCAGTACCCTACCCTGCTCTGCCAAGAGCAACCCGGAGACAGCAGGTCCTCATTGCAAACTCCATGGTTGACCCAAAGGCGTGGTAGTTGGAGACTTAACAATAAGCATTCTTTGTAGCAGGTAGTCCTGTAGTGAAACTTGAGCTGTGTGTGTCTATGACTTCCTCCTGGGGAGGCCTTAGCAAGTGAATTATTAATGATCAGATTCACCAACAAGTAAAAGAAAACATTTTCTTTGGTTCAGAAGACATCCACAGTGTGCAGTCCAGAACCGAGTATGGTGGGATCACCGTTATGAGGGACACTTTGATGATGAGGTGTTTCCATATTCAGCCCCTGTTTTCCACTTCTTGGCTAAAGATGGTAACCTTAGTCAGCTACAAAACAAAACAAAAGGGGGCTTGACAGATGCCTCAAGTGGTTAAGAGCACTGGCTGCCCTTGCAGAGGACCCGAGTTCAGTTCCCAACACTGACATGCTGGCTAACAACCATCTGTAACTCCAGTTCCAAAGGATCCAACACCCTTTTTCTGACCTCCTCAGGCATTGCACAACATGGGTGCACTTACATACATGCAGGCAGTATACTCATACATATAAAAATAAATAAAAACAAAACAAACACCCAAAGGATAAACTTCTTTGCAAGGACACTCCTAGTACATGCCTCTGATTCTTCTGCATATAGCCCATTGGGCAGGATTTAGTTATATGGACAAACTCAGTGGCAGAAATCTGCCAGAACTGAAACATTGTTTATAAGTTTCCTTGCCTTTATTTGATCAAGTTCTAGTGCAAATAGCTTCACAGTGTGATTCAGTGACCTGAATATAAAGGAGGCTTAGAGGTAACTGGGCTCTAAGCCAGCAAGGCCCACGATACCAATTTACTGAAGACTTGAAAACCTCCACGTATGAGAAGAAGGGACATGTTGACCCACCTAGCACAGAGGTGCAAGGATGAACTCATTCAGAAGAGCCGCAGAACCGTTTCTAGACAGAGTGCCCTGTTTGCTTGGTGGGATAACCTATTAGACAACCCTTCTGATCCTTGATGGCTCTGGCTTTTTCCTTTATACTCTTTCTTCCTAGGATTATTCGATTGATTTTTGCACTAGAGTACGGCATTCTCTTAAAAATGTTGATGTCAGTTTACTCCAGATGACTTGTTATTTTAATTCTGAAATGCATGGAAACTATTCTGAAATTAGAAAACTACTGTAGAGCAATATGAGATCGTATATTGATTTTCTCAAAACTGTTCTTTCATCTATATAAAATGAGATATTAAGATTGAAAGGCATGAAATTAAAATTTTAAGTGTTATAAAATTAGATTTCCTTTCCTCTTTTAGGGCACTGGAACAGATGAAGATGCCTTGATTGAAATTTTGACAACCAGGACAAGCAGGCAGATGAAGGAGATTGCTCAGGCCTATTACACAGGTGATCCTTATTTCTGCTCACCTTTTCTGCCTTTACCACTACACACACACACACACACACACACACACACACACACACACACACACACAAAACGCTAAATTGCTCCTCCCAGCACCCCACCAATCTCTTCATAAGCATTTGAAAAGGCAAGAGTTAGAGCTAGGAAGATGCATTCTAAAATGGGCTGTGGGTTTTCACAGAAAATTTGAATATGAAGTGAGTGAGGAACTGTCACCTAACAGTGGTATTAAGATTTTGCATTTCTAACATTACAGCGACAGTGGATTTTGTCTTCAGCAATCATTTAATTGAATCAACCATTTTCATCAATGTAAGAGACTCAAATCATTGTATAGTTTTATTATATATTAAAAACCACTCAAAGACTAATGATTTGGGGAGGGGGAAATTAGATAAGCTGTTCAGAGGGCATGTTGAGCATGTAGATTCATTATAATAGGCTGAAGACCTAAAAATCTGTTAGTCGTGTAAATAATTTGGAAGTACCCACAATGCAATTCAGACTCTACTCAGGGTTGGTGTGATGTCATAGGGGAAGCTTCAGTCACCACACTTCAGATTCAGTCACAAGCTCAGGTGCTGCCAGCCACACACGCCTTTCACCAACTGCCTACAAATCTGGGGCTTTCACAGTCCTCCCAGGTCAGTGACTTACAAGACATGTACAATGACAGTACTTCCAATGGCAGTTTTGTTATAAAGGATGCAAATTAGGCCTGACAGTTGATGAGATGCACAGAGGCTCAGCAGGTAAAGGCACTTGCTGCTAAGCCTGACAACCTGAATTTGATCCCCAGAACCCACATGGTGGAGAAGAAAGCTGACTCCACAAATTGTCCACTGTGGTGTGTCAAATGATTTCCTCAATGATTTCCCTCCTTATATCTGAGACAAGGTTTCTCATTTGAACCTAGAGCTCACAGATTCGGCTAGTCTAACTAGCTAGTTCACACCACAGATCCCCTGTCTCTACCTCCCATGTGCTGGAATTACAGGTGTGCTGCTATACCCTCCTGACATTTATGTGGGTCCAGGCCATCACCCCGGTCTTCATAAAAGAGACAGGGTGTCCCAACTATACAGTAACACAATCATCTACGTAAATAGCAAAATACTAGGCTTTTCCAAGAATTCTGAAGTTGCTGTAATTTCAAGAACACTGAATCAGGAATGAAGAACTCTTAAGTCCTAGTCCCGGCTCCTCCATGTTTACAATGTGATCCTCATTCTTCTAATCTGTTATACCCCAGAATGCATAAAGTACTTGTCAATTGGAGTGAAAGCATTTTTTGCCTATTTTCTTTTTATTGTAATTGCTAATACTTGTTGGTCCTACAGATTGGTGAGCTTCATTGGGACATTTTCATACGTGCATGTGCAATGCAGTAATCATGTCTTCCCTCCCTTCTACCCTTGCTCTACTTTGGTTTCTATTGATGTGACAAACACCTGACCCAAAGCAACCTGGGAAGGAAAGAGTTTATTTCAGTTTATGCTGTTGGTGGCAACGCCTCGGTTGATGCCCTTCTTCCCAGGTGTCTCTGGTTTGTGTCAAGTTGACAAAAACTAATCAGCACAGCCCTTTTAATTTTCATTTTTAATAGTCTAATTTCATGCAAAATATGTGGAAAAGAGGGAAGCCAGAGGAGACTGTGTGATAGGAATATTGAGTCTCATCTAGATAATTCTAAAATTATGAAATAACTTTTCCAAACCCTGAAACACATGAACCTCATTCTTTGACTAGTTTTTAGATTACAATTCCTTTTCTAACTAGCGTATAGGATGAATGCAACAATATTATGACTACTATGCCTTCTATTTCATCATTAAGATAATTTATATTCATAGTGGGCTTTATTTGTATGAATTTCTTTGAAAAAATGATGGATTTCATTGGAAAGAGACTTACTAAAATTGTGCTGAGGAAATTTCCATTTCAATGCAATTTTGCTATTAGATAATCTCATCACTTTCTATAATCATTTTCTATTAATTTAAGGATGATCATTCATATGAGTAGTTTATATGCAGTTACTGAAAATGATGCAAATGGAATTCATATTTCCACCTGGTGTCACCTCCATCTAGGTAGATAGTTGCAAGGGAATCACTACTTCGCAGATGGAACAGAAAAAGATTTTGAGTTGCTGGGAGGACAGGGAATGATACTCAGTGGTAGAGCCTTTTGCCTAGTATGCATAAGACTGGGTTCAATCCCCAACACCACACAATAATAAAAATAAAAGTGGATGTTGTCTATCACTTGCCATACAAAAGGGTCTACAAGTACTGTATACTGAAATATGTGAACACATAGTTGGCATTAGTTAAGCAAATATAGTATTTTAGGGATGGCTTCCTTATTTTGAATAATATTAGAATTATTTCTTAAGATGAAGGTTAGATTCAATAACATATAACAATAGCAATGGTTTACATAGTTTATTATATGTGGATGCTGTGAGATGAGCAGTTCTAAGACTGCTGCAGGTTCCTTCCTTCATAGTCAGAGACCACTGCATGAGCCCAGTCCACATAAAGGCAGTAGAATCAAGGAAGAAAAGGACCCAGCTGGTTATGGCCCATCCCTTTAAATAGATTTCCCAGCAAAATCCTATGTGTGTACCTACATTTCATCTCGAAGAACTTAGTTATGGAACTGTACCTAGCTTAGAGGAAACCTGGGAATGTAGCTTTAGACTGTTTGAATTACATCTTCCTGAGGATTAGAGTTCTGTTAATATGAAAGAAGGGCATAGAAACCAAAAGGCAAACTAGCAGGTGCCCACCCTATGTTCCAAAGTGCCATTCTTAGATGAATGAGCCGTGACCCAATCCCAAACCACACGTCTTCCTACTCTACCACCACACAGAGCAGAGAAATCATGTCAAGGACACTGTCTCCATCTCACAAAAGCAGAGCACCAGGAAGTATACAAAAAGGCAGGATTTATTTCATCAGATATTTGTTTCATTCCAGTGTTGGCATTTACACTATTCTCTGTTCTATAATAGTTTTAGTTTCTCAAGACTAATTTCATTCTAATTTTATTTCAGTATACAAGAAGAGTCTCGGAGATGACATTAGTTCTGAAACATCTGGTGACTTCCGGAAAGCTCTGCTGACTTTGGCAGATGTAAGGTTTTGTTTTTTTATTCTTTCCCTCCCCAGTAAACTGCCTGCTCAGGAACAGTTTTTAGAAGAAAACTGGAGATAGTAAGATTTCCATTTTCCTATGAAATGATTTGTTCACATTACATGTATAGTGCCACCATCAATAAAACATTAAATCAGGACCACAAAAGCATACCTGGCGATGTAACAACAAAAATATTAGGTTTGAATTGGATCCATTTATGGATTACAAGTGCTTTGATTGGGTTTCACAGTATGTTTGAAAGTATTCTGATGAGCCATCTGCGTAAACCATAATTGTCCACTTCCATCATATTTCCATCATATTTAGAACATGTTTATTTTCTTCTGGGTTCCAAAGAATATTTATTTCCTTTAAACTAATGGGAAGTAGAGACAGAAGAATTATTTTCAAAGATGGATATTAAATTCAGAAGCAAGTACCAGTTTCAGGATTTAAAGAAGATAACTTGGGCCTTTGTCTTTGCCACCTTGGAAAGGATGCTAAACCATTAATTAATCATTATGTGACCAAATGAGACCCCTACTTGCTTACTTAGAAGGTTCATGACTTCAATAATAAAGATGGTGTGGACTGGCAGGTGGCTCAGCAGGTAAAGGCACCTCAGCAGGTGAGGCTAAACTGGCAACCCCTGAGTTCAATCCCTGGAACCCATGTAAGGATGGAGGGAGAGAAATGACTCCACAAAGTTGTCCTCTGACCTCTACACATGCTCCATGCTTACACACACAAATAATATAATAATAATAATAATAATAATAATAATAATAATTTTTTTAAAGATGGTACAAAAAAATCTCATCCTTGGATGAGATATAGTCACAGTATGATTAAGAGAGGAAGTGATTGAAGCCCTGTCTTTCTGACTTCTTTCAGCTGATTTATACAGCTCTTAAGGTATGAGAAAAATCTCAAGTGCTTCGGCATGACAGTTGGAGCAGCACTTGTCAAAAATGAGGCATAATGACACTTGGAGATAATTTATTCTTATTATAACTTCAAGTGCTTTAAATGCTGCAAATCTTAGCAAGGCAAACCCACCAACCCAAGTTTATGAAGCATAGCGGCAACCATGTCTCCAGCAGTACTGTGCATTCATGTGTGTGACAAGAGCTCTGTGCCCATAGGAGGCAGGCTAGAGCTCCAGGGCCAGTTTTAGGATCAAATAGAGCTAGGCTCCCCTGCTGCCTAATGGCTTTTTGTATTTGAACAAGTATAAAGCTTAAAGTTAAAGAATTCACGTTCACATTGGTGAAATTACAGTTCCGATAGCATTAACCCCTTGAGGTATTGTGAGGATTAAGAGAATAAATGAGATTCTGAGTACAGAGAAAGGAATCAACGCATGAGAGCTGTGGCTTAATGCTTATGTGGCTTAAGGCTGATGATAATCAACATCTGTATTATTGGAGCAGAATGCACAGAAAAAGAAAAGAAGATGATAAATTAACCACAGCAGGGTTTGGCAGTACAGAAGCGAGGCAAAAACCAAACCTACACACAAGGGCCTGATGTTTGAAGAGAAGAGCAAATCTATGTTTTATTTATTATTTTTATTATATGCATATGAGTGTATTACCTGCACGTGTGTAAGTGCACCTGTGTTGTGCAGTGCCTACAGAGGTCAGAAGAAGACATCAGATCATTTAGAACTGGAGTTCCATAGGGTTGTTAGCTGCCATGTGGGTGCTGGGAATTAAACCTAGCTCCTCTGCAAGAGCAGTCAGTACTCTTAACCACCGAGCCAACTTACACCTCCATCTTCCTATCCCATAGGATCCTTTTACTGCTTCGAGTTTAACTTCTTGTATAACGTTCTGTAGTTGAAATCATTCCCTGTACATCCTTTTCAGACTGGCTTCCAACACGTATCCATGTGCTGTTCTATATAGTTCAGAGAATAATCTATGATAGCTGTGCTCTTGGTTTTGAATGAGTGAGTTGATTAAGTTATCTGGAAAGCAAAAGTAAAAACAAATAGTGAGTAGCAGATAGAAACAGCAAATAGATAGCAAAATATCATCAAATCAGACACTTAGAACATCCCAAGACTGGAGTATCCCAATTGAGGGTGCGAGCAAAAGGTAACACATTATATATGCCTATAAGACTTTTGCCATATTTTTCACAGCTAGACAGCACATGTCTTTTTTCACTGAATAATATTCTGTTGGCTAGACTATCGGTTGAACGGCATCTTGGTTTCTTTCAAGTTTGGGCAATTATAAATAAAGCTTCTGTTAAATATTTATGTGCAAGTTAGGGGCATGTTTGTAACTCGGATAAATGTCAAGGATCATAATTGCTGAATCAGACTATATAAGAATATATTTACAATGTAAGAAAGTGCTGGACTGTCTTCCAAAATGACTGTACCACTTTACGTTCCCACCAGCAATGAAACTTAAGTTCCCATTGTTTCACATCCTCGTATTTGCTGTTGTCAGTATCTTGACATATCTTAATTTATAGTTCACAATGATGTGATGCTAAGCATCTTTCTATTTGCTTTCTTACCATCTCTACATCTTCTTTGATGAAATGTTTCCTTAGATATTTTACTCATTTGAAATATTGGGTTGTTTATTATCTTCCTACTGAGTCTCAATGGTTCTTTATATATTTTGCTTACAAGGCCTTTATCAGATATGCTTTATGACTATTTTCTCAGTCTATGGATTCTCTTTTCATTTTAACACCTTTGAGTTTTCAGAGGAGGTCAAAGTGTCCCTAATTATGTGATTTGCTACACTGAGTGACTAGTCGATGGCAGAGGCAGAACTGGAGCCCTGGGTGCCTGATTCTTCTCTGCTGCATGGCCTGCATGGAGAGAATCTAGCAGAATAGCCTGCTGGTTGGAATACTGTGTCCTTAGACAACTGATCTTTTTTTTTTTTATCATCCCTATTTAGGGTAGAAGAGATGAAAGTCTAAAAGTGGATGAACATCTGGCCAAAAAAGACGCTCAGGTTAGTAACAGCCAGGAAGGCATCTCCTTTGACTCCCCTCCTCCTTATGGGCTCTGCATTTCTGCAAAACATAGCACTACTTGGGACTGTCCTTTCCTGTCCTGTCTGAGGCAGAGGCCTGGGAACAGGCATCCATTCAGCTCTAGCTTCTGCCTTCTAAGGTGGTGGTGATCACCCTCACCCCAGTTCCTGCATTCAATCTTCAGCTAAAAGTGAGTTATAGGTAATAGATGGTTTCACTGGCCTCAAAAGTCAGGTAAAACTCCCACTCTTCTCATTCTGCCCCCTCAAAAAGAGAAAAAGTTGTGTTCATGATGACGTGTAAGACTTCTCCTTCTTGTCAATAGATTCTCTATAATGCTGGTGAGAATAAATGGGGCACAGATGAAGATAAATTCACTGAGATCCTGTGTTTAAGGAGCTTTCCTCAACTGAAACTAAGTATGATCACAACCTTTTTTGCTTTATGTTGCTTTAGAAAATGTCTTTGGATTAATCTGCAGGATTTTAGAAAATGAAATTATAAGCTGTTCATAATGTATGAATAAACATTTCAGGAAACCAAATGGAGAAGGTATACTTTGACTCAAGGCAGTACTGACATTCTTTCATTTTCCCCTAAATACTGAGTTGTTTACCCAGTGAGTAGCAAGTAATAAAGCGGGGTGGAGAAGAAAAAAAAGTCATCCAGCAGGGAAGCAGAAAGGCCCCTGTGGGGAGGTGAGCTGGGTCATGTTTCCACCCCACCTCTCTCTAGTTTGCCACCTTCTGGGAAAGCCAAGCATTGCAGGGGAGTGTTTTAGTTTTTCATATATATATATTCCTTTTTAATAGAATTTTTGCAATTTTTATATAATACAATTTGATGGCATTTAGATCCCCAAACTTACTGCTCCCCACCCAATTCAGTTATAT